TGTGCTTCCATAGCCGATGGACTCTTTTGGAGAGAAGATATAGTTCGTCTTCTTCTGACGAGGATCCATCAGAGTTTTCTTCTTTTGCCTGAAAAGCTTTAGTTTCATATTTTTTATTAAATTTAAGAGCAAGAGAGTTACCTTTATTCTGGGGCTCATCTTCTTCCAGTTTTATCTCGTGACTTCTCAAAGAGCTGATAAGTTCTTCAAGAGATATTTTGTTTAGATCTTTGACTAGTTTTAAGGTTGTGACCATTGATCTCATTTCTTCGGTAAGATTCTGATGATTTTCTTTACATGATCTGTTGTTGAGTACCCTTTGTTCAGAACTTTTAGCCCAAAAACCAGAATTTGAAACCTTTAGAACATTGTCTCAACTGTTTCATCTTCTTCCACTTTGAAGGCCTCATACTTCTGAATGAGTGCAAGATCTTTGGTCTCTTTGACTTACGTGTTACCATCATGCGTTATTCTTAGAGAGTCAAACATGTTCTTATCTGGATTTTTGTTCGTGATCTTCTCATACTCGGCGTATGAGATAACACTCAAGAGGATTTTTCTGGCCTTGTGATGATTTCTGAATTCTTTATTTTGTTGATCTGTCATTTTCTTTTTGTCGATCTTCTGAACGCTTTCGTTAACTGGATGGATATATCCATCAATTACGATATCCCAAAGATCAGCGTTATGAGCTAGAAAAAAACTTTCGATTCTGTCTTTCCAGTAATTGAAGTTCTCACCATCAAAGATTGGAGGTTTTTCGCTAATTCTGTCTTTCTCATCATATTCATCATTGTTGTTGATTTGACTTGGTCCCACCATAGTGTTTTTCTTGCTAGGATATTTTTTCTGATACGGTTAAGTGTTAGCACCCAGAATCAGATGCTCTGATGTCAATTGAAGGATAGAAAAACAAAATAAAGGGGGTTTGAATTGGGGTTTTCAAAAAATAAAACATTATGAAAAGTTTGGTTATCCTAGTTCGTTTGAACTCAAACTACAGTCCATCCGCCAAGGTGATTCCACCTCTCTTAAACGAGGTCTTATTCCACTAATAAAAAACTTTTATTACATAATCACAATGAATACCGTCAATGTCTTCTTGAGACTAAACCACAACTTGGTTTCTCAAGGTATTATAAAATATAAATAAAAAATGTGTACAATGGTGTTTCTAGAAAAACTATATCACAATCATGATTTATACACAAGGTTTAAAGCACAATGAATAGACAAGTGAGAGAGAGAGATAGTGAAGGTATATCTTTGTATGCGCAAGTGTATTTGATCCCTTCTTCAAGACTTCTTTATATAGGCGAAGCATATGAGACATGAGAAGATGATTTTGGAAGGTTGATAAAAAGTTGTTAATGTACTTTCCAAAAATAAAGATCTTGTATGGTACCAGTCGTTACTTTTTATTTGTAATGATTAAATTGTAACGCATCAGAACTTGCTTCTTTAACTGCTGATCAGAATAAGAATCATAACATTGAGACTTTAGATCATCCGAGTATTTACTTCAGAAGTTTTAGCATTTAGAACTTCTTTGGGCGTGATATTTCAATAGTTGTACATAAATTCTTATTAGATCTTCTTAGCGTAACTTTGTTCTCCAACTTCTATGCTTCTTTATCAGAACTTCTATGCATATTTAAATAAATTAGTAGAGATCATATTTGTTCTTTATGTATATATCATGTATTTGTTATTATCAAAACTATTACAAAGATGTAGAACCAAACTATGTTCTAACAATATCTTTGAAGCGAGTAATAAAATTCCCACCACTATTTGTTTGATCGAGTTTACTTTCTTTGTCCGACTCATCATTCAAAAAGGTGGCATTATAGCTTCTTATTTGTTTTCTCAGAAAATTCAAACACCCAACTTGGATAGACCCATATCCTTCTCATACACGACAGTGAAGTCCTTTGTTTCTATTGTGATAGCTAGAGTTTTGTATTTCACCATCTTTTCCTCGACGTTGAAAGTTACAATTTTTTGGATTCTATTGTTAATTCGCTTTGACATATGAAGAGACATTGTTCCTAGATATTCTATCAAATGTTCTCACGGCCTTGATAAAATTATTAGCAAATATAACAATAGATTCACTAATGTTTTCACCAATGTCACGTGATACTTTGTCTTCATTATCAACATTATTGGCTTTAAAGGCAATTCCTTTACCATTCTTCTTGGATTTTCCATCAATGACCATCTCAAAAGTGAGCAAAGAGCCAATAAATTTATCAACATTTATTGTGGAGACATTTTGTGCTTTCTCAATGGCCTTAACCTTCATGTCAAACCTCTTTGGAAGAGATCTTATAATCTTTTTCACAAGTTTCTTGTCTAGCATCTTTTCACCAAGAACAAATGAGTTATTGACTATGTCACAGAGACGAACATTGAATTCAACAATAGTTTCATCTTTAAGCTTCTTGTAGTTTCAAATTTAGTGGTGAAGAGTTAAAGTCTTGACATTCAAACTTTGGAAGTTCCCTCATAAATTACTTCAAGAGTTTCCCATGTCTCTTTTTCTCTAGTGCACGTGTTGATGATCATGAAGATGATTTTGTCAACTCCATTATCAATAGCATTAATGGCACAATAATTCCCTAGAACAACTTCTTCTTCAGCAGATGTCCAATCTTTTTAAGGTTTTATGTATTCGGACTCATCATCAGTTATGATCGTAAGAGAGGACTATCCATTGATTACGTAACTTTCTAGGTTTTTCTATCCATAAACTTAGGAAAGGCAACCATATGAGCCTTCTAATAGTCATGATTAGTACCATTGAGAATCGATAGAGAGAAGGAATTGATAATGCAGTTTGATGTAATTATCACCTATGTTTAGAGGACTCCAACCCAAAGGAATGGAAATCCACTAACTATAAGCAATCAATAGTACATGACAGTCTCATCTGAACTCTCACAACCCAATGCCCTTTTTCTAATACTACCAATGAATTTTAACTCATATTCCCTCTGAATATGAAATCTCCTCACTTTCACTCAAACAATATTTCGAGTATTTGTAAGAATCAAAATTTTGGATGTGACAAATTTCACGAGTACAAACTAAAAACACTATCCCTCATATGTAGAAAAGAATAACAATGATAGAGTTTTACACAAGAAAATACAATACTCAAGTTGATTAACTCGACATGATTATTCTTCCAAAAGTCTATATATCACATGGAAGACAATCTCTTTATATAGAGACGACGATCCATCCAAAAATCCAATTATGGTACAAATAAATTCACACCAAATTCAATCTTTCACAAACGAATTCTTTTAATTAATGAAAATTCAATTAACTCTTTTTAAATAGATCATAGTAATTAAATATAATATTTTAAAATTCGAACCGATCATCGAATCGGTCAAACTATTGAATTATTAGGTTATTGATCGGTCCAGTGAACCATTGATCGGACCGTATAATGAAATTCATACTGAAAATAATATAAAAATATATTTTATTTTTCTTTGATAACATGAATTTTTTTCAAAAATTTTATTAATTTATTTTATACTTTCTAACAAAAGGGGGTAAACTTTCATTAATTTTTTTTCTTCAATTTTTTGTTGTTAATTTATCATATTATCTTATAATTAATTTTCTCTTTTTTAAATTTTTTATTATTATATTATGTGATTAATAATAAATATTTTTAATGAGAATATATTAAAGAGAAATATTATAATTACTAAATATATAACTCTTTTCTATATTATCATATTAAACATCAAATTATTCGTGGTTACGGAACTAATTCTTAAAATTTGATTTAATTTTTTTTGTTTGTAATTTTAATATTATTTAATTATTATAAATAATTAACACAATTATAAATATTAATAAAATTAAATTTTAAAATAAGGACTGTAAAATTTTAAAAAAATAAAAATAAAAGAATTAAAATTATAATTAAGTTAAAAAATATATATAAAAATATCAACTTGTCGAATTAAGAAACTCATCGATTTTCATTAAATCAATTGTATATATATTCTAATAATTTTATTAAATCGTTCTACTCTGTAGATTACGATTTAATTGATCAGATCAGACAGAACAATCCAAATTTAAAAAACCAATTAAATATTTTTCAAACAAAATATTTTACAAACTAATTATGAGAATCATATACAAAATAAATCTTTCTTAACTAAATTTAAAATCAAACATAAATAAAATAAATATCTTTAAAAAACTCATTAGATAAAAATTGAGTTTGAATGTCTCAACTACTTTTGAAAAATCTTATTTAATATTTTACTTATAGAAATAAATTAATCTATATCTAATAACAAAATTAGAAATGATTATTTTTTAAAGTTTTTAAAAAATATTAATATTGATTTTTTCATAATAAAAATATTATTATTGATTAAAGTGGTCTTAATGATTATTTAACAATTTTATAAATTTTTACTATTTAAATGACAATTTATAGAAAATAATAATTATTATCTTTGACGATTATATTTTAGATTTTGACTATCAATATAAAGTTTATTTTAAATAACCCTATTTTTAACAATTTAATAATTCCCCGTAAAAAAAACAATTTTAATAATTTATTTAATAATTATTTTAGGTGATGGCATAACATTGGACATCGGACCACTACACATAATGTACGGTGCAGATGATGCCACGTGGAGAATAAATTATCGATCGTGGATGAATTTGAAGAATACAACTATGAAGTTAGAAGGTATGATGCTGATGCGTAGCCGACTCAACATTGTGCCACTCCCAACGTTGAGACGCAAACAAACATCCAAATTAGCGTAAGCATCAAACACTTTTCATCCAACGATCCACATTCATTCCTTCTACCCATCACTTTCAATCTCCACCCTCCATTTTTTTATTCATCTTTTGTCTTAGTCATATAGTATATTGTCTTGTTGAACTATAAGTACATATTGTTGATCTTGATTTTTGATTTTTGAAGACAACACAACACAATGTTGGTTCCTCCATGGCTCAAACCACTTCTCAACACACCGTTCTTCAATGTCTGTCCGATTCACCGCGACGCTGCGAGAAGCGAATGTAACATGTTTTGTTTGGATTGTAACATTGACGCCTTTTGCTTCTACTGTCGTTCTTCCAAACACAAAGATCATCAAGTCATTCAGGTAATATTTACTCTCTTACGCGCATTTTTACTACAATGTTGTAAATTAATTCAATCTCATTGTTTATTTTATTTTAACACAATTAGATAAGGAGATCTTCGTATCACGATGTAGTGAGAGTCGGTGAAATTCATAAAATGTTGGATATTACTGGAGTTCAAACGTATGTCATTAATAGTGCTAGAGTTTTGTTCCTGAATCAAAGGCCACAACCAAAATCTGGAAAAACAGGAGCTTATATTTGTGAGATTTGTGGAAGAAGTCTCTTAGACCATGTTCGTTTCTGTTCTTTGGGATGTAAGGTAAGAAATTATGAATATTGTTATCATTTTTATTTTAAATTTCTTTCTCACTAAAACTCTAAGAAGCTTATCTATCATTTTTTTCTCTCATTATCTTCACCACCTTCATTATTGGAAATATTCTATAAAAATATAAATGAACTATTTGGAAAGCTCATCACACCATAATCATATTCCCTCCATTGGCATTTTGACATTTCAACACATTTTTAAAATAACCATATATAGTATAATAGCTAGTTAATATTATTCATGTATTTTCCTCTTTTTATTAAAAAAATATATTATTATTTTTAATTCTTGTTGAGGTGGTACCCCAAAAAAATATAATTATTGAATAATAATGTATACTAGTAGTTAGTAATGAATATATGTTTGGTCTAATTTGATGCAATCAATTAATTGTTGTGCTGGCAATGACTGAATTAGCTTGTAGGAATAAAGAGAAATGGGAATGCAAGCTTTGTTTTAGATGCTAATAACAATGGAGTATCAACAATGGGAGAAGGGATGTCAAGAAGATCAATCTCTTCAAGACAAGAAGAAGAAGAATTGCATGAAGGCTCACAACAAGGCATGTATCAAGTGACACCTCCTTCAAATGCAAGAAGAAGAAAAGGAATACCTCATAGAGCTCCTTTTGGATCCTAAACATTTTGTTTTCTTTTTACTCCTTAAAGTTGGATCAGACTTACTTGCAGTTGAAGAATTCACACAATCAAATATCAGTGATTTATTAGAAGAGAATTTGACAATCTTAATTTAAGTTGATCTTACGATAAATAATATTTTAGATACGTAAACTCTAATCGATTACTATAAGATATATTTGAATGTTTCAAAATCGATATAATACTCAAAATTGAAATAGTCAATTTTTTATTTATTTTTGAAACAATAATTAAACCCTTTTAGGGAATCTCATTAGTATAATTAATATTTTTTAAGTGAGAAAATGATATAGGGTTGGTGGAGATAGGGTTACATTTGTCTATATTGTCCATGGTGGGAAAGTAGAAGAAAAGGGTATATAGGAAAGTTCCTTCTTTTGGGGTATGGGTTGGAAAACAACAAATTGTGCCTTGTGATTGTGAAGAACCAATAATGCATATTAGTTTAATGCTTGAATAGTTGCAAGTGTATATGTCATTAAGCCATCAAAAAGCTATACTTTGTGAACTCCGTTTCATAGGTTATTTTAATGCCCCACCATCCAAGTTAATCACTTTTTTTTAGAGAAGTTTATTAAAAAAAGTCATTTTTATCATATTATTATTATTATTATTATTATTATTATTATTATTATTATTATTATTATTATTATTATTATTATTATTATTATTATTATTATTATTATTATTATTATTATTATTATTATTATTATTATTATTATTATTTTATTATTATTATTATTATTATTATTATTATTATTATTATTATTATTATTATTATTATTATTATTTTTTTATTTTTTTATATTATTATTACTATTATTTTATATTATTATTATTATTATTTTTTTATTTATTTATTATTATTATTATCATTGTTATTATTATCATTATTATTATTATTATTATTATTATTATTAGCATTATTATTATTATTATTATTTGCATTATTATTATTAGCATTATTATTATTATTATTATTATTATTATTATTATTATTATTATTATTATTATTATTATTATTATTATTATTATTATTATTATTATTATTATTATTATTATTATTATTATTATTATTATTATTATTATTATTATTTTTTGCATATGCAATGTAGTGGGTACAATCATTCTTACCACTTGAAAAGCTCAAGGGTAACTCATTTCCTAAACTTTACTTTCAATTTATCTTAATTACTAAGGAAAATTAAGTAAATGGAAAGAGTAACAAATGTTTTGTCTTTATAGTATTATTATTGTTGTTATGATGCTTAGTTAATTTCTTAATCAATGAGCCAAAGCAATTAGGTAGAGTAGATATGGATTGATGGCTAAACGACTCATTTAAATATTTAATCATTTAATAATTGAAATTGTGGAAATATGTTAGTTTGATTAAAAAGGTGTGATAACTTAGTATAATTCGATAATTTGAGTATGGTTTGAATAATAATATAATAATGATAATATTGGTGAATGAAGAAATATTACTATTATTATTAATAAAAATATTATTAGATATATGGTATAGTTACTACTACTAATATTATTATTAATATTATGGTTATTATTATTATTATTACTATTATTATTATTTCTTTTATTATTATTGATTATTATTAGATGATAATAAAATATATTTTGAGGGAAATGATAGAAAGAGAATTGAGAGAAACTGTTGTCACGTGAAAAGAAGAGAAGAGAAGCTAGGGAAAAAAGGTGACAAGGAGAATCTCACTATTGTTGAAGGATTAAAGCTCCAAACCAAGGTAAGGGGGGAGAATGAATTCTCTAAATGGTGATTGTAACATGAGAGGGTACTGAGAGTTCCTTTTCCTCTTAGGGTTTTGTGTAGATCTGATGTATTATGATTCCTTTTGTTGATTGATGATATACCTATGTGATTCTATGTATAGTGAATAATTTGATGTCCATGATATGATTGTTGTTGATAATCCTTGATATTGTGGTGTTGTTCCATGAAATTTCTAAATTGAAATTATAGATCTAGGAATGTGACGAAAATTGAGGAATTAGATGTAGAAACATTTGTAGATTCATAGCATAATGAGATTAGACGAAGACTTTATGTTATTAGGTGTAGAAACACTATTTTGGACCCAAAATTGAAGAATGAAAATACTCAAAACGAGTAGAAAACAAACTGGTGTGATTGTAGAAAATTTTGTGTAGCAGACTGGCCATATGCGTATGGGGGACGTCCTAGAGGGCCATACGCATATGGTACTTTCCCTATTCCCGAGCCAACACGGATAACTACATGAACGCGTATAGAACACACATGAGAGAAAGGCCATACGTGTATGGACTAGCCAGTACACGTATGGAGATCTGGAGGGGTTTTGAAGGGGAAAATCCCCTCTAGTCATACGCGTATGGTACGCGTATGAGGTTGGGCGTTGGAGTGAAACGCGTATGATACGCATATGAGATGGACGAGGGAGAAGCCAAACGCGTATGGTACGCGCATGAACAGGCTGATGTTCAGATTTGTCTGTTTTCGCGATTCCTTTCTTGTTTTCACGTGCATTGTAATTCTTTGGGTCTGTAATGACTAGTATGAAGTAGGCAGATGTAGGGAGGCTAATAGAAATGGAGATTTTTAGCAAAACATGAGACTTTAGGCGAATTGATTATGATGTGTGAATGAGAATGTTGTTTTTGAGTAGAGTGATATTATGTTGTTATTGAATATAGAAGATGAATTGCTAATATACTTAGTGATTATGATGTCATGGTGTTATGTTGTTGTAAATGTTGTTGAATATACATGATAAATTGAGAACATGTTTAGTTGATGTGATGCTATGATACTATGTTATGATACTATAATGTTATGTTATGTAATGTTGTTGTTGTTAAACATTCATGATGGATTGATAATAGGCGTAGTGGATTGTGATACTAAGACACTATGATGTTGAAATATTGTTGTAATATTTGATGAAGTGTGATGCGATAATGTTTTATTGTTGGGTGTATACAAGTATGTTGTTACTATTTGCTATTGCTATCGTTGCATGTATGGTGAGGGCTTATGCTCTACTGGTGGCCTTTATTGGCAAGATGTTGTGGGCTTATGCCCTGTGGTTGTATATTCACGTTGTTGCATGTTAGTGTTGCATGCATATATTGGTGAGGGCTTATGCCCTGTTGTTGGCCTATAATGGCGTTATGTTTAGGGCTTATGCTCTATTGTTGCCCAAATTTGGCACTAGTTGGAGGCTTATGCCTTGATGGTACCACATGCATTTAGTTGTCGTCGGTTGCAGTACATTGTACCATCTTGATTTGATGTTGTGTTATATGAATGAAGAATATGTTGCAAAGTATTGTATGAAATGTGTATTTTATGAATTATGTGATTCATGTGAATTACTACTCCTTAGCATGTGATATTTCACCGTATATTTATTGAATGTAATTCTCACCCCTTTTTAGTTGTTGTGTTTATGCTCCTCTAGAAATACAGATAATCAGGCACCTGAGTAGTGCTTTGTAGTATGAGTTGTCTGATTGAGTCTTAGGAGTCGCTCTGATACGTAACACGAGATTTGAGAATTTGTTATGTTTTATGTTGTTTTATTCGTTATGTATCTTACCTTTATATTTATATTGAACCATGAGTTTTGTGGATATTGTTATTATTTAAGCCGTAGTGCTATGAAAATGAATATTTGATATTTCAGTTGTGTAAATAATTCTTTTATAAGAAATGAAGTAATAAAATGATTTTAAATCTTATGAGTTTTTGAAAGACGTGACATCCTACTTGTGTACTCTAATGTATTTACGTCTATTATATTATAATTATTCTTGTGGGAAAAGTGAGGTGTTACAATTGGTATATGAGCAGGTCGGTCCGTTCGGCCAGGTTGTTGAGTTTGTAGAGTGTGATAGTTGAATATTGTCGATGTGTTATTCCTTAGTGCGTGACATGTGTTTGAAACACTGTCAATGCCTTCTTGTTTTTCTGATCACTTGTTTGCAAGAGAGGGATTGAAACAAGTGAGGGAGAAGTTGTTGCTTCTCGGAGACTTTTTGGTTGCAAGAGGTGAACAGTTGGTTTAATGTATCATGGATTGCACAAGTGCAATTGTTGGTAAGGATGTGTGGTTTTCTGATTCCGAAGAAAATGCGGATTCGAGATTCGTGTATAATGGTAAGATTGTAGTGTCCTTGGGAGGGAATGATTAGGTACTTGTGTTGTTCTCATCTTTGGTGGTAGAGGGTGATGTTATGGCGAATGATGTGCCAGTTGTATATTGGTCCCGATGCTTTCCCAGGGATGAGTGCGATTTGTCGTTAGAGCGAGATGTTGGATCAGCGTGAGGTGGTCTCTGAGGGTGAATGACTTGGAGTGGAACCGAGTGCTTTGGAATTATGTTGTTAAGTCGATGCAGACTCGTTCGTCTGAGGGATGTTAAAAATTCAAGGTTCTGGTCTATTGGGCGATTGAGGTGTCTCTGTGAGAAGACGATCAAGAATTATTGGTGGTTGCTTCTTAGGGAATAGAGAGAAATGTGATGGCTTGTGACATATCAATGGTGTGTACCTCTTGAATGTTCCAGAGATATTTGCTAAGCAAGTAGGATAACTTCTATAAGATGAGGATATTTGGAGAACAACTTTTAGAACTTTGTGTAGGCATTGTGAACTTTCAGATTAGTTGTTGTGGTGTTTATTGTGGGCATTCTAATTTATTCCAAGTCGCAATAAGAGCAGGTGGGACAGTTGCGAATTGTATTGCGAATGTTGAAGGAGAAGAAACTGTATACTAAGTGGTCAAGGTGTGAATGTTAATTTAAGGAGGTAAGTTCCTTAGGCGTATTGTTTCGGATAAGGATAATTGTGGATCTGCCCGAAGTGGATGCGGTTATATGTTGAGAGTTTTTGAAGTTGGATACCGAGATTAGAAGCTCTTTGGGCTTAGTTGGTTACTATTGCATTTTGTGAAACAAA